ATACTAATTGCTTTATTGGACTGATTTTCTGCTTTTAAAGCAAACACAGTAGTGAGTTCCTGTGGGCTGGCCAGTTTTGACACTAATTTGCAAAGCCATATAGACATCTTTAGAGTCATGTTGATAAACAGGATAGAAAAAAAAAAAAAAGGTCAGTGTAGTAGGCAGAATAATGTGCCTGCAAAGATGTTCACTTCCTAATCTCCAAAACTTGTGAATATGTTATATTTGGTGCTGATCATAAACCTTTTAAAGAAATAATCCCAAATATCATAATCCCAAATGTTGATATACCAAAAGATCAAAATCCCTAAAGTCCAAAATCCTAAAAATCACAATATTGAAACACCAACATCCCAAAAAAATAAGTCTGGAAAAAATAATTTAAAAATTCTTCAAAAGACATTTCTCTACATTTTAAAAAGGGGATTTATTTGAGAATCAAACACAACAAAAACACATCATAGGCCACTTTACTCACTAAAATAGGCGATAATTACATACATATTTTTGCAACCATAAATACTCAAGTATACTAACAATAGTCGCATGGGTAAAACAGTTAAGAACAGACGAACTGGGCCGGCCCGTGGCTCACTCGGTAGAGTGCGGTGCTGATAACACCAAGGCAGCGGGCTCGGATCCTATATAGGGATGGCTGGTTTGCTCACTGACTGAGCGTGGTGCTGACAACACCAAGCCAAGGGTTGAGATCCCCTTACCGGTCATCTTTAAAAACAAACAAACAAACAAACAAAAAAACAGACGAACTGTATTCATAAGGAAATCGGTCAAAAAGCAAAATGTATAAACACATACCACTATAGCCGGTAATCATGGGCACCCAGCTTTATAACCCCAGTCATCTGAGATACCATGACGGACAAGCTAAGTCTTTTGATGAGATCAATCAAAAACCACAACAGGTCACCCCCGCATGTGCAGTTGCCCAAAGAGCTGAGACCTTGAGAAATTTTATCTTTCACAAATGCAGATGTATAAAAGGGCCATTTCTTCACTTACTGAGGAAGTTTTAATGTTTTTATGTACGTGCATAGTGCCTACACACAAAGTCAGCTTTGTGATATGCATTTTTGTGGGGTCAAATTTCCAAAAAATGTGTAAATTGAAATAGAATACTCTAAAAGTTTTTATCCAATCTATACCTTCAGTTTGGAAATGATGTGAAGATGAAATACAGAGCATAGCAAATTGGAAAAAACAATGCCGACAATTAACAATAGTGGAAAAAAGCTAGAAAAAGAAGAAAAGAAAGAAGGAAACCAAAAAAGAAAAGGGATTTCATACAGCCGCTAATCCCTTCCCCAGAAGCCAGGTTTCAGGATTTCAACACTTAGGATTGATTCTAATTTTGGGGGATTGTGATGTTCAGGATTTTAGCATTAGGGATTTAAGACTTTAGGGATTTTGATCTTTCAAGATTTCAAAATTCAGGTTTATGGTGATCGAGATGGTATTTTTTGCAATTATGACCTAAGGGAATATATGACAAAGGGGAATTAAG